GGGCATTAGGACCCACATGGATCACAGGGTGAGCGCCCCCCTGTTGTCCCCACTAACACCTCTTCCAGCAGCAACCTTAGTTTTTCCCAGGAGGTCTCCCATCCAGGTACTGACCAGGCTCACACCTGCTTAGTTTCAGTGGGCTGTCAGTTGTGAGTTGCAGTGATATGGCTGCTTCTGTTAGAGAAACGGTTAAGCTTCTTACTGGCTTCCAGTCTCCAAGATGCTCACAGGACTCTTCCAAACACTAAATCTGTCCCAGAGATTGTGAATTGTAGAAAGACAAAAACTCCACAGTCACTTGAGCAGCCAGATTCAAGCACAGACTGTTCTAAAGACCAACATTCTCATAAATTGTCCTCAGCAATGCTAGACAAAGCTCCTTCTCTCTTTCTCTGCATGGGACAGTCCCAGCACGGATTAAGCCGTATTAAGCTTTTCACTGCCCAGACGAAGATGATCAGATCATTTTATGAGCCATATACAATTTCTTGCATTAGGAATTTGTCATTTCACATACCCCAGCTTGCTCTCTGAAACACACAGACAAGGAGAGAAGCTAGTGGGTCAGAGCGCAGGGTCAGCCATTTATACGGCGCACCCGGAGCAGCCCAACTGAGTAGGATTCCTGTGCCAGCCACGGGATTTGAACCAGCAACCTTCCAGCCACAGGTGCAGATCCTTAGCCACTGCTCCGCCCAAGTACCATGAATAGTTGACACTTGTGTTAGACGTTGTTGTAGTTTATTTTAATCTGTTGTACTACTTCTTTAAAACCACACTTGTTTTAACTTAATTTGCCATGAATGTGTTTTTTTTGCTATTTTTCTAAAGTTATTCATATTCTGTAATTACGTTCTGTAATTTTCTAAAGATGTTTTTTAAAGATTTGTTTGGTTGAAGTCATTGCTGCTCAAGGGGGTCAAACCAGTTCCTGAAAGCATAGGTTCACATACTTTTTCCGACAAAGACATTTAACGTTGGATCATTTCAATCAATAAATTAATGAAAAAGTATATCCTTTTGTGTGTTATTTGTTTTATTGGATTCTCTTTATCTATTTTTATTACTTAGATGAAGATCTGATCACATTTTAGGTCAAAGTTCTTCAGAAATTCAGAAAAATCTAAAAGGTTCACAAACTTTTATAGCACCACTGCAGGTCTTAGTTACCAGAATATTTGCAACTCTTTTTCTACAAATATTATAATGGTGATCAGTGTAAGAACTTTAAAACAAACCTTACGATGTTTAAATTTACTTTGCTGTAAACACTATTTAGACATTGTGGAGTTTATACAGATACCAACTGATACATCTCAAGTGTATTCAAAATGGATTGGTGGTCACTCAAGAGACAGATTGCAGTTGTAATTCACCATGATGGAGTTAACGCTGGCGATGTGTAATTCAACAGAGAATATATTACAACCTTGGACCCAATTATAGGTGACATAAGGACAGCTTTAACAAATTGAAACCTTATGGCATATGTATTAATATGGCGATAGATGAGTTTTCAAGGTATATTACCTGGACTGAAGCCTATAAACAGTAATCCCAAGTTTGTTGCAGGCAAAAAATAAATTTCATTAAAGCTGGCAGTGTCTGTATCTGACAGAGCAAGTACAGAACTTTGCAGGCACCTGTCAAGAACTTGGAATATCACATTCTGACAACCATATTCCCCTACTAATGTATTTCTGATGTCGCTTAGTGGTCGTAAAATGCATCTCTACTGAAAACCAGGGCAACACATTAAATACAGTAAACCATATTTCTCTTAAAGAGATACACATACCGCATGTTTTTTTTAAATAGGATAATATTATCTGGAAGTACCTTGTGAAACCACCAGGTGGAGCTAATAAAGCTCAACGTAAATGTAGAGCATTTGAGCTGTCGCCAGAAAACGCGCAGTTTTGAAAAAAGTAATAAATCTGACTGTAGCATGGATCTGAAACAAGCAGAACCAATACTGGATAATGGCCAGAATGGGAAATATAAAAGTTAACATGTAGATGACCAGGAAGACAAGCGTTAAAATACTGGACAAAAAAGCATTTTTGTAAACCTCTGGAGGTTAGAAGAAGCAAGGTTCAAATAAAATTTGAGTCTGATTACATGTAAGTGAACATTAGACATGTTCAGTACTTACATTGACATCTGCTCCTTGGGAGAGAAGAAATTCAAGCATCTCAGATTGCCCACAATCAGCAGCATAATGTAGTGGCTTCCTTCCTCCTTCAAGAGTCCGGTTTACATCGTCACCCTGCAAAAAAAGGCAAATAAACTTGCAGAACAGATACGATTTCCTGAAAATCAGAAATGGCTTGCACAGAATAATTGGAACACAATGATGTTCATCTGGTGTGATGTTATGGTGATGATGCATAAGAGATACAAAATTGTATCTCGCGATACTGATGGATGTGTACCTTGAACAGAGGCTGGCAACCTATGGCTCCACAATGGTCTAAAAACCATAACATCAGTTTTCATTTGTAGAAGGATGAATGTTTCTGAGAAGCCGTCACCCACAACTGAAGTTTTAAAATTTTAAAGGCTAAAGATAAACCAGGCTTCAGACTTCTACCCCAATCCCTTTAATTCTACTCACTGCATTACATGATTTTTCCAGCATTCTGTTAGAATAAAGTTCTTTCAAGGTACATGAAGCTTAGTAGCAGTAAATACTGTCAGGCAATGCAAATATAAATTCACATTTGAGGATAAAAAGAAAATAGATGATGAAACAGAAGAATAATTCAGAAAATATTAGACTTACACCAAACTCAGCTGGGTTCCCGTCACATTTAAACAACAGACAACAAAGTTTGAACCTTGAGAGGCCTATACACAAATATTTCATTTCCTAAGAAAAATCCAATTCAAGATTTGAAGAAAACAACATCTGTTGAGCTAAAGCACGAAGCAGGGAAGAGCAAGAATACCTTTTCAATAAAAATGCAAATAGATGTAGGAGTGGAGCAATTAATCTGAAACTGGCAGATTTTTAAGCCTAGGATTTGTGCACTTCAAAATTCAGCAGCCTAGTAACAATCTACAAATCTATTGACACTAAAACACACAAGGAAAGAAATGCATGGTCTCTGTAAACAGGATCAACTTATGCAGGCTTAGGCCAAGTGGTAACTTCCCGCAGGTGACAAAGTGGCATGTAAAAATTACACCACCCCCCCACAAACCTAGCTATCCAATAGCTAGCTCGAATCTTTCCACTTGAAACACATTGCTGTTTGCTATATTTTGTAGGTATCAACCCATTGTGTTATTTTTGCTACTGAGATTCATTACAAGCAGAGATCAGGCCACAGACAGGAGTTCTAGTTCCAACAATAGGTGGTTTACTCCCCTTAAGTTTACAGTGGGCATGCTAATTACTAGGAGAGAGAAAGGGGAATAGAAAGAGAAGGGGACCGCAGTCTCCAATAGCAAGAGATGTGGCAAACCTTTTATAGGGTAATGCAAGAGGAAACAGACACAGTCAGGGTCAAGGATGAGAAGGAAGTGGGATAATCAAACACTGGAGGGGAGCAGAATGCTACATAGTGACAGATACAGTATTGCACTGTAAACTGTTATGCCTGTAGCTTAGTGATCTAGTGTATAACCTGCCTTCATATTCTTCATGTTGTTTGAAAGAGAGAAGCCATTGGAAGGCTGCATGGTTAGTACAAAGTGTAAAGAGGAGCCTGCAGATGTGGTGTTGGAAGTGTTCGACAGTATTCACTATGGTCAGCAGCTCTAGATGGATGACACAGTAGTTGCTCTCCTCTGTAGTATGCAATAATTCTCCCTCACCTGTATTCAGAGCTCTGCTCTGGCATCAGTTTCGTGGAGAAATGGTAGCTTTGAGTCTGTTGCAGCCAGGATTATGGTATCACACAAACCCGTTTTAGCATGTACCCAAGGTCTCCTTTCTTGCCTCAGTTTACTCAAATGTCACTCATTTCCTAATGAGCTTGTTGGACAGCAATGGTGGCAAAGTCAGCCACAAAGTTGTCTGGGGCAGATCCTTATCTGTCACAAGCTGCTGGGGGTAGGCCAATACCACACAGTTACGACCTTGTCCTTTTCAGTGACAACTCTGACCCAGGAAGAAGATCTCTGTCTGCAACAGGTGGTATTTGTCTGGATGCAGCTTCAGGCCTGCTGCAGCAATTCTCTCCAAGACCAGGCTGACGGCATGGAGTGCACTGTCAAAGAAGCAGTCATGCACCATCAAGCCATCCAGGTACACAAGGCACTGTGTCAGGGGAACTGGTAATGGGTTGACTGGCAAGGGTGCTGATGGTAAGAGGCTTACTGACAGAGGCACTGGTGGTGGAGGTCTTGCCAAGGGGCTTGTGAAAGAAAGAGGAGACAGCAGTCTGTTAGCTTTTTCCCGGCACCATGCAGTATGGATGGATGGTGTTTGTTGGGCCCCCTAGAAAATGAATGACACCTAAGCAGAAGTCAAGCTGTGCCCTAAGAAAGTCCAGCCCCAAGATGTATCTATCTTGGATGGGAGCACTCCTCTGAAGTGCAAGTTCCCTGCAAGTTCCCTGCTTGTACGATTACTGTTTTTCACCCATACATTGGGTTTCTTCTCCAGTAATCATACTTAAGTTTCAGGCTAGTGGGCTATAACAGTGCACCCAGAGACAAGAGATCAGGGTGGACAATGGTGAGCAACTATCCCATGTCCACTAGTGCCTGGCTTGGGGCCCCTTCAACCATAACTTGGAGGTGATAGTACAAATGGGTTTTTGACATGGGAGCTGAGTGCATGTTGAGCACTCACAGGCCAGTTTGCACTCCCGGAAGGACTCCCCTGGCTCATGGCCCATCTCGCTGAGTATACATCATCGAATCAGTCAAATTCCTTACTTTGCATAACTCAAACTACTTTCTAATTTCTTTAAGGGCATAATTTCACTCTGAAAGCTTTAAACTAATTCCAGTCCTTCTTTGTTCTCTGTCTAAGCAAGGGAATCTGCTCTGTGACTGCAGTATAAACAGCCATGCTCTTGCTTTTCCTTCAACCCCATTGATTAGTCTTGACTTGCTTCTTGCTGTGATCTGGCATCATCTATACTGGCACTGGGTGAAAGGCTGGATTTATCTCCCTTCTTGATACCAATGCAATGAGCCCTGCACCCTAGTTTATTACCCTTGAGAGAAAGGAGGATAAAAAGAGGTCCACATTCTCCTGCAGCAAGATGAGGCAAAACAGAAAGGAAAGATATTTATAGGGTAAAGGTAGAAGAAAAAGATGCAGTCAGAGTTGAAAGGGAAGTGATTGGTAGGCCCAACACCTGGTGGAGCAAAATGTTACAGTAATTTATTCACTTTGAAAATTGAGTGGCTTCCTTTCCCTTTGTTTTCTTTTAGAAATTAAGTTGTGATTCCGCATAGGAAACCCTGCGTTTCTTCTAGTTACTAATCTAACTCCCATGATTCCAAAACCTTAATGTGTAAGATTTTCCATCAAAACCTGTGATGTATTGCTTTATTTTATACACATTCAAAAATTGGTTAACTAACAGAATCATGAGTCACTTCAACAATATCAAAATTTTATGTTCATAACTATTTTTTTTTATCAACCTAGACTTGTTGCAAATTCATAAGAGTTTTAGGCCATGACATGAGACCAGGAGATTTGAAAGCTATGCAATTACATGCCATCGTGGCTGCTGCAGTGTATTACCATAAAATAGTATTTCAATACAGATTCCTGGGTACATTTTTCAAGCATTCAAGCAGGTGCCACTACAAGAAACTATGCTATG